GTATAAAATTTTCTAAAGTTAATGAAGTTAACAACAAATAACCAAATACTGTTTTGCTGCAGATTTTGCAGTCCAGACGATTTGAGTGTGAGAATCAGAACACAGACCCTGTAGTGTGGACTTGTCATCGCATCATCAAATGGATCAAAGAGATTGATCTGAAGGTATGCAATGCTAACAGAGAAAGTGTAGGTGTTGGTATATCTCAAGACTCAAAAGAAAAACGTATCTTTGTATTTTGTATTTAGGAGTTTGCTGACAGTCTTCAGAACAGTGGGGTTCATGGTGCTGTCATGGTTTTGGATCCCTCCTTCAGCTCTGACACCATGGCAACAGCGTTATGTATTCCAAGCAACAAGCACATGGTCCGTCATCACCTCAATGAAGAGATGAAGGCACTTGTCAGTACAGCCAGGTAATGCACTGTTAGTATTGTAGTACTATCTAAGAACACTACACAATCATAATAAATGTCTCTTTATATATTGTAAAATCAAGAGATGAAGAGAGAGTCGAGTAGTGCAGATTTCTCAACAGATGTCTGTATCTGCAGGGCAGGGCTTGATCAGGAAGTTGAACCTTTGGGGACTCCGCCCACACTCCACCGACAAAGTTCTCTAAGCAGCTCATCAACCAGTTTTCATGACGATCAGCAGTCTTTAAGGAGGGTGAAGGTAGAAAACTAAACCTGAATCGGAAATTCTTAAATCTCATACTAATGCCACCTTTAGGGGGGAATCTTTTGAAACCTGTCAAGAACATGTATGGATGGCAACATCAAAAATAGAAATAAACAATATTAAAAGAAAATAAAGGCACGTTCACTCTAAGAATTGTAGCTATAACGATAACTATATTAGCATCCACACCAGCGGATGATATCGTTCTGTTTATTCTTCTGTTTATTCTTAGTGCACGCTGCAGTTTTGTCGTCTGTCGCTTTAAATGTTTGAGCTCTTTTAAGCAGGATATATTCTGATTGGTTGTCAATGTTTGTATCGTTCATCAGCTGGCGGGGGGGAGTTCAGAAAGTGATTCCAACAATATTGTTTCTCTGTGCTGTTATCATTATAGTTGTGGTGGGGACTCTGCTATTGTTGTGAATGAGCCTTAAATCCTATTTTTTGTGACATTAAATTCATTACATTTAAGTACATCCACCCCCAAATATATATATTTATTATTTTTTTAAATAAAACATGGATTGTAGTATTTTTATTCTGTCATCATTTACTCATGTTGTTCCAAACCTGTATGATTTTTTTTCTGTTGAACATAAAAGAAGGTATTTTGAAAAATACAGTGGTGTGAATAAGTTATTACCCCCATGCTAAAGTTGCCTAAAAAGAGGAATAAAAATCATCTTTTGGAAATTGATCTTAATGCCTTAATCAGAAAAATGAGGAAAAATCCAACCTTTAAGGACACCAATTTTCTTTGTGTATGAATAATGTATCATAAATAAATAAATGTTCTTCCTTAAAATACAGGGTGCATAAGTCAGGCCCCCCCTATGTTAAATTCCCATAGAGTCAGGCAGATTTTTATTTTTAAAGGCCAGTTATTTCATGGATCCAGGATAATATGCATCCTGATAAAGTTCCCTTGGCCTTTGGAATTAAAATATCCCACATCATCACATTCCCTTCACCATACCTAGAGATTGGCATGGTGTTATTTCAGTTAGCCTAATAGCTGGTTTGATTTGCATTGAAAGATGATCTTATGGAAAGTACCCCATGCCAATCTCTAGGTATGGTGAAGGGAATGTGATGATGTGGGATATTTTAATTCCAAAGGCCAAGGGAACTTTATCAGGATGCATATTATCCTGGATCCATGAAATAACTGGCCTTTAAAAATAAAAATCTGCCTGACTCTATGGGAATTTAACATAGGGGGGGCCTGACTTATGCACCCTGTATTTTAAGGAAGAACATTTATTTATGTATGATACATTATTCATACACAAAGAAAATTGGTGTCCTTAAAGGTTGGATTTTTCCTCATTTTTCTAATTAAGGCATTAAGATCAATTTCCAAAAGATGATTTTTTATTCCTCTTTTTAGGCAACTTTAGCATGGGGGTAATAACTTATTCACACCACTGTAAGTCAATGGGCTCCAATGTTGTTTGGTTCCCAACGTTCTACAGAATATATTCTTTTATGTTCCGCTGAAGAAAATAATTAATACAGGTTTGGAACGCATAGGAAATGAAACCCTTAAAGGGTTAGTTCACCCAAAAATGAAAATGATCCCATAATTTACTCACCCTCAAGCCATCCTTGGTGTATATGACTTTCTTCTTTCCGAACACAATCGGAGTTATATTAAAAAAACATCCTGGCTCTTCCAAGCTTTATAATGGGAGTCATATACACCTAGGATGGCTTGAGGGTGAGATAAATTATGAGATAAATGAAATTTTTGGCTGAACTAACCCTTTAAAGGTAGCCATTTAACACTTTATCCTTTGTATAAATCTCTTTGCACAACCACTGTGAGTTCTCTTCTCAAGGTCTGTGCTCTTTAGTTTCCTTTGAGTTTAGTTCTCAGTAACAATGCACCCTCAGAGAGTGAAGATTTATATTATTGCTTGAATAATTCTTAAAAGTCAAATATTTGTAGAACCAGTGAATCAGAAATCTGATGGATCCATTTCTTTCTGCAGCAGCAGCTCGGTCTCAGCCCAAAGGATTTCGCTGGACGGAAGATCAGTCAACAGAACAGGTCCGGCTCATTTCCAAGGAATGGACTTCAAGAGGTCTCGCTTCAGCAAGAGCGTTGCCCAGTTCGACATTTTTCTGCTGCTGAGCTCACTAATGTCTGAGTCTTTCTCCTGTCTAGACTACTGTTGAAAAACATGACACTTAAGGCTCCCAAATGGAGGGATTTTCTTTTCAAGGTCAACACTGAAGAACTCTCAAAGAAAGTTCACATTTTCTGACTCTGGACCCTCAGTATGCCAGTAGGGGCCTTGGCATTGTTTTGTAGACCTTATGTTGTTGTGAGTGTGGACTCATTTGTCTCAAAGTGAGACAGAGTTAAGCATCCATTTGAAAGAGCACATAACATTTATTTATCCGTTTAGATGTTTGATGAAATTATAGCTGACGTTTGTGTGGAAATTGGAATTTATTTCCATTTAAATGAATATGTTTTACATTGAATTTTAGCTGTTGATGTTAGATTCAAAACCACAAAATACTGAAGATTAGAATGTGAAATGTCATGTTAAATAGTACATTGTTATTCGAATAGATGATTATTTGAATTGAATAAAGTTCAAATCCACTGGGGTTCAAATAGTCATGTGGTTCATATTAGAATGAGGATCATGAGGATCATTGATGTCAGGTGATTAGCAGATCCATAATTAAAGGTTACTAAGGTTACAATTCTTTCCCAATCACAGTGCACAATTTGTTATAATATGAAATTTCTCTTAGAAGCCCATTTAAAACCCAAACGGTTCAAACCTTTTGTGTCCTAACTAAATCACCAACCTCATGCACAAATACCATAGTTAGTATATACTAACTCCAAGGTCATGCACATTGGTAAGTTGTAGCAGAGGTTATTCTAATCGTCACAGGAAATGTGCAAAGATCAGAGATATGACCGTTGAAAGTTTTTGAATCAGTGTAAGGTGCATATTTATATAGATTACAAGTTCTCCATTTAAAAAATGGTCTTAAATTTTATTCTGTATTCTTCCTTATGGTACTTCTTCCTTATTTTATTCAAGGACATTAAGACAAGAAACAATTATAAATTATTATGAAAAATAATCAGCTGTTTTTTTTTTCATTTGTTTCTTTGTTGTGTTATTTTTGAGTATTTGTTTCACATTTTTCTAGCATCTGTTACACATCATACCTGGAATTCCCACAATTTCCCCACACAGGATTAATAATCTACTTTATTTACTGAGAAAAAATACGTAATACCTATCAGAGCACTCCTTATTCAGTTTACTTTAAAAGTTACATGACGTCCCTTAACTTAAACGGACAGTTATGAGGAAGCACCTTGCCTATATGGTCAAACTTTGCCCTACATCATTAACATTGCCCAGAATCACAACTGCCCATAAAGTAGTTAAATATTGTTGAGCGTTTGTTCCGCTCTAGGGATTTATGTTTGATGAACCCTGTTTCGACACATTTATGTGGGTGCTGCTGCTGGTGATTTGACGTGCACCACCCTGACTGCCGATCAGTGTGATTAATGCTTGTATCTTAAAACCTGTATGAGATTAGGTATTTTCTGAGAATCATAAATAAACTCTGTCAGAATGCCAACAGATCGACAGTCTTTCTATTTTACCGTTAGGGTGAAAATATTAAAAGATGAATGAAAATAAGATTAAGACTTAATTGACTGCTTAATCAGTTAAAAACTGGGTTCATGTATTTCTTGATTTTATTTAAAAATAAAGTAAAAAATTTCTCTGTAGCCTATATGATGTTTTTATTTTTATTCACTCTGGAATCAAGCATCAATATCTGTTTCACTTAAAGTTTCAAAATGTGGTTCTGTAGTTTTACGGATCACACTGCCAGGGGATGGGGAACTTTTTACCCCTCAGAACATATGGGCGGGGCAGGAGCCTGAATGGGTCTGTTAAAGGGTTAATTAGCCTATGATGTTTTTATTTTTATTCACTCTGGAATCATGCATCAATATCTGTTTCACTAAAAGTCTCAAAATGTGGTTCATAGTATATGGACCATTACTGCTAGGGGATGGAGAACTTTTTTACCCCTCAGAACACATGGGCGGGTCAGGAGCCTGAATGGGTCTGTTAAAGGGTTAATTTGGACTCTGTAGCCTATATGAAGTTTTTATTTTTATTCACTCTGAAGTCATGCATCAATATCTGTTTCACTAAACGTCTCAAAATGTGGTATGAACCATTAGGGGATGGAGAACGTTTTAAATCCCCGAACACATGGGCGGGGCAGAAGCCTGAATGGGTCTGTTAAAGGGTTAATTCTGGACTGCAGGGACAGGAAGATGTTCATATCTGTGAAACTTAAGGCCATACTGCTTTAAGGAATTCAAGTTCAGTTTCTTAAGGAATGTAACAAATGCTCCGGTATAGTGTGCATCATTGGATTAAACGTGGTTTCATTCAGGATTGAAACGGACTGGGTAAACACAAGGAAGCGAAGTTTTCTCGGTAAGACTCTTACAGTGAACTTGAAGTGTGGCTCGTTTTCCTGGAACGTTTGTTACTCTTTATATGGTTTTACATAGCGCGTTAGGTTTTTCTTTTAGCACATGTTGTGCGCAACGTGATTTGTTGTTTATTTTTCTTTGTCTGAGAGGATTTTTTTTTGCCCTGCAGTGTGATTATTGTTCTCGTATTGTTTACGTTATGGGGACGTCTGTTTGTGTAAAGTTGCATTTATGTCTTTTACTTCTTTTTTTAATATGAGTAACGTTAGTATTCTCCGGTAGATTTTCGGACGTTGATGCTTAAAGGGACAGTTCACCCCCAAACATTTTTTTTTGCCAGTACCCTTACATTTTTTTCAAACCCCTATTAACGTTACTTTTTTTTTCTTGAGTACATAAATAGAGATGTTTGGCATGAGTTGTAGGCACTGACAGCCTTGCCATTCACACGGAACACGTTTTTATTCTTAAAAATGCGGCATGGTCTAGAGACCTTTTTCTTTTATTTCAACTACTTTCAAACTTAAATTTGTGTGTGTTTTTTAGAACACACTGTGTTGAAATTTATTGTTTTTCTATGTAAAAATTAGCTTTACAGACGTGTTTCATATCTTTTGCAGTAGATGTCATTCTTAAAATCGCGATCGCTCAAGTTAAAATTCAACTTTAAAAGTTAGCCTAAACTTTTTTCAATTCCACTGTCTTGCGTAGGCCTATTTAAATGTAAAACCATGTTCTGTGTTAACAGCACCTTATTTTGCGTTCTGTGAATGATGAAATGTGATAGCCTGCAGTTCCTTCTAAGATACTGTAGATAGACGTATAAATGGGGGTGTCGCTTAAGTTTCTGGACCCCTGGTAACCTATTGTTGCCTCGAGCTCCCTCAACTGTAACCTTACGGTGCCCCTGTGTAATGTGAATTTATGTGGCACTATTTTTGTGTGTGTCTAATCTGGCCAAAGTGGCTTTTGTGAGAGGAGGAAATTCTTGCCATTCCTCAGTGTAGATTCACTATCATAATTTTATCTGTCTGCATGCTTAGACGTGCTTAGTAAACTCAGTTTTCGGTCATGTACACGTTCTAAACTTTGCTTATGCGTCAAGGAAATCACATTCAACAAGTCAATGTGCCGGGATGAAATTATGTCTGCCATTGGAGACTTTAATCACCCTGCAAGAGTAAAAAAACACAGAGCTCATGAGCAACTATACCCACATTTTTCCATACACAGCATAACGTATGAGTCACTGCTGAAGAAAATAGAGTCCATCATAAACCACCTGGCTCTACATGTATGATTTACACTGATCTAAGACCAATAATTATTGGTGCTTCCTTGCTGAGAAAGTGATTAATTGTGTGGTAAGAACGCTTATCCCAGACCTGCCTGTACAGATAACCAATACAATTCCAGAAACTGTGTAGGCATGACACAGCAGAGTTATGATGTGCTTTCTTTAGTGTGAGTGTGTAACTATGAAACAATAACACATTGTCAGTAAAGATAATTTTGGAGATTTTTTTTTTTTTTTTTTACTGGCCGCCTTCATTCCAACGTAAACCTTTCAGAGCAGAGATGAAATTTCACCAAAGTCTGTGTTCATGAACTCTCTCTCTCTCTCTCTCTCTCTCTCTCTCTCTCTCTCTCTCTCTCTCTCTCTCTCTCTCTCTCACTTCACTCTTGAATCGAACTCTTTCTTCCATTTTCTTGCACCTGTAACTAAAGCTTGGTAGGCGAGACACCTATTTAATCTCATGGAAGGAAGTTAGACAAACCTAACATGTCTACCGATGTGTGTGCACTGTGCAGACAATAAATATGCTTTGATAAAAACTTTATCACTGCTTAAGCACAGGCCGGGTGACTGCTATGCTATTTTCACACAGGATTTATGGAGGGACTTGGATCTTTGACGTTTATTGATTTAAGACTCTTTTATGATAGTCTGATTATTCAATCACATTTTGATGTCCGATGATTCATCCTTATTTGATCTTCTGTTCACAGAGCGGGTCAGTGCTCCAGAAAACAAAGTGGAAAATGAGATAGGTCGAGTTTTCAGACATTTTGAAAGGTACAGGACGAAAAACAACTTGTCCGGAGGAAGTCCATGGTAAGGTTTGGAAGCATGTCCTACAGCGACCAGACTCCACCCAGTCCCAGCAGGACCAGCGGCAGTAACTCTGGGGCACAGTATGCTACCGCTGCGCTGGGAGTGGGCCTCATCGCTCTGGGGATCGTCATGATTGTGTGGAGCGTGGTGCCGGCAGGGTCCGGTGGGAACAGCTCCAGACCAGGCATGGAATCCAGTCAAGTTAAGGAGACCTCGTCCGTGGCTTTCGTCCTAGTGGGGGGAGGAGTGGCGCTGCTGCTGCTGTCTGTGTGTCTGAGCATACGGAACAAACACCGGGCGGCCAGGGGACAGGAAGCCGGCAGTACGCCCGCTAACACACAGGGGGAGGGGGCTACGTGAGTACATATTGTTAAATACACACCCAGGTGAAATCACATTCATTCACTTTATGATGATATTTGCGCCAATGACGTGACGTTTTAATTCTAATAATTTATGCAAAAACATTTAAAAATGCAATTTATAGTGACTTGAATACACTTCTATGTTTTTTTTTAGTTTCTGAATTAAAATAAATGTTTATTTATTTTTTGGGGAAGTGTGAAGTCATAAATATCAGGTTGATGCAACCTCCTGATATCATAATGAAGAAAGAAGTCTTAAAGTCTTTAAATATATATATTTTTTAAATGATAAAGTACTTTGGCATAATCTTGTATTATTATGTCTTAGAAAAAAATATTTTAACAAAATTGCTTCACTGCTTATTAATATTTGACAAACTTTTTTTCTGCCAAATCAATATCATGTGGTCCAACCAACATGCAGGATAAATAGGCAAGGCAGGGCAAGCTTGTGTGTATAGCACATTTCATACACTATGGTAATTCAAAGTGCTTTACACAGAAAGGAATTCAAATAATCAAAAATTAAAAGCAAGGAAAATTAAAACGGTTATAAAAGGAATTAAAAGGGTAAAAAGATGATACATGGATAAACTTCTCATCAGGCAAAACACCAGAGTATCATATTTTTCACAGCTGCATGTTTTACTGTGAGATTTTCCCATGTTGATTGCACTGTGTCTGTGGTGTTCTTTCGGCACGCCCAAGTAATCTATTGTGTGTCTCCAATAGATTTTTCCCTAAAATCGAACAGGAAGAGCTCTAGGAAATGGAATTGATCCAATATCATATAATTTGGCATGGTTGGTTCAGATTGTAAAATGTCTTGCGGTGATTCTCAAAAAAATTATATTATTTATGAATTAATAAAAAAAAAATATAAGACAAATAGACAAATATTTTTTACAAAATGTTAAGATGTATACATTGACATATTCAAGGTGGGAAAAAAATACTTTTATGCCACATGACTTTTTTTAGTTAATAAATTAACATTTTTATTGAAAATAATCAAGGTTTTAAAAAAAAACATAAGAACATTCTTATTTATTACATTTCTGTTTAAGTTTGGGGTCAAGATGTTTTTGAAAGAAGTCTCATGCTCACTAAGGTTGCATTGATTTGTTAAAAAAATACAGTAAAATGGTAATATTGTGAATATTGTTACAATTTAAAATGTTTTTTTCTATTTACATTTTAAAATTAAATTCTTCCTGTGATCGAGAAAAAATTTCAGCAGTCATTACTCCAGTCTTCAGTCACATGATCTCATTATAATAAGCTGATTTTCTGCCCAAGTAACATTTCTTATTATTATCAGCGTTGAAAACAGTTGTGCTACTTAATATTTTGATGGAATCCATGATAAAAAAAAAATTCAGCTTTCTTTTTTGTAACAATATCTTTTATTGACGCTTTAATTGATCAATTTAATGCATTCATACTGAATAAAAGAATTACGTTTTTATTAAAAATAAAACGGTAAACGGTCTAAATGGTAGTGTATAACAACCTAAATTTGCTGTGTATGGTTTTAAATGGCCGTTTATTTTTGTATCTAGGATGGATCAAATAGCTCAGAACTACATGGTGCCCACTTATGAGGAGGTGGTTATGAGTGGCCAGTATCCCATCACTCAGTCCTCTGAGCGACACAACAGCGTCACACAGCTGCCAGCCTATGAGGAGCTAGAGGAAGATCAGCACACCGTACTGGATGGATCCAGCCCAGCACGCAGACCTTCATCCCAAATCGACCCCACCACTGGAGCGGGCGGCCGCAGAAACAGCCGTCCCAGTCGCAAGCTGATTCCCCTTAAAATTAGGCGCATCAGATCGGACAACCTCAGAAGGAAAAGCTTAAGCGATATCCAGCAGAGCAACGTGTTCACCATCGAACCTCTCACTCCGCCCCCACAGTATGATGATAAAGACCCCCCACTTCCTCCTAACACACAACAGTGAACCGTGCTGGAGGTTTACACTGACATTGAAGTGTCAAAATGTGATGAAGTGCGTCTACCTCCTTTATGAAATATTACAGCACTGAACTGCATATTACTCCTCTGGATAGGATGTGCCACTATCAACAGCACCGAGTTCACCGTGTTCTGTAAAGGTGAAGAGCCTTCAGGATGTCTTCCTGTGTTGGTTGTACATTTCCTGTTTAGGGAAATAAAAAAACTTCACAAAAAAAGCTGTTTGGAATAAAACCTAACTGGATTTTTGAAAGATGTTTACTGAACAACTGCTGGTTTTGATATAGGCTGGTCTTGTTATTGCTGTTAAACTTGAAATTCAGCATCCGAGCGGCCCAGACCTTTATTTCATAGGACGTCCACAAGAACTTTTGAAGAGATGTCAAACTATAAACTGTGAGTCACATCAGCACTGTTGCGTTTTTGCACTTATGGTTGTGTGTTTGTCAGGTGTGGAAGAGGGCATGTGATGTTTTGTAAATTGTCCATGTACTTCGTTTTAGTTTGTGTGTTGGCTTTAACTTTCTGTTTGTGTGCAAGTATGATTGTTCTTAGTGACCTTGTTGCCGGAGTGGCAAACTGTGAGGTCATCCGTATGTGTCTCTCCTCATGGTTTATGACACAGAGAGGTTCTTTGACCCTGCAGCTGCTTTATATCACTCTCTCACCAACGCACACCACCAGACACTGAGAATTTCTTGTCTCCCTTTTTCACTAACTTGGATACACAAACACTCAGTCTTTTCATCCCTTTATTTTTAAATTTCAGAGTTGATTTGTGCAAAGACAACTGTGTTTCTCATAGGGCAGCTGTGGCATCTCCATGCTGTGAGGTTCAAGCTCCCCGTCATCTGTCTGAGGCTAGCATTACTCCTCTAAACACTCCAAGATTTTCACATAAAGACACACCCGTAACTGGTTGTTATTGAAATCAGTGTTTCTTTTTCTGGAATTTTTGCTGATGTCACTGCAGTTTAAGACGTGTGGATGGAAAATGTTGCTGAATTTCATGTCCTATTTAATGATGTTATTTGTTTCTTCTGTTAAATTTTTTTTCTTTTTTTTTTCTCTATTTTGGAATATTCTGTTTAGAATTGTAATCTAGTATGGTATGAGAAATAAAAAAAGGTTTGGCATGTAGTTGTATTTCATCTAAAATATAAAAAAAATACATAATATAATAAAAATGGTACCCTGCTTTAGATATTATGTTGTCTACAATTAACGTTGCACCTACATTCCAACAAATTCTCATTAGAGTATTAGTAGACTGTATGTATCTGACACTTTATTTTGATGGTCGTCCAACAGACTTTTCAGTAACTTTGCAAGTATGTCAACTACTTCTATCTAACCCCTTATTCTACTATTCTAGCCCTACCCCTACTCCTAAAAGTCTACTTATACCGACAGTGCAATGTTACTTATACAGTAGTTGATAGAATGTCTAAAGAGTACCATTCAAAATAAGTGTAACCAAAAAATATTTGTTGTGAGGGATGCTGATAACTTAACCCTTTCATACATAGAGGTCACTACAGTGGACGGCTATTAAAAAAGCATTTTCTTTGCTTGGGTTTTGCAAATCAACCTACAGTGGACCCTTGTGCATCATCCTATACATTGACACCAAGTGGTAAGCCGTTGTGTGTCGATTGACCCCCCCTCATTGCTCATTTCAGATGAGATTGAAAACACCTGATCGCTGTTTTCTCAGAGGAGAGCTATGTTAGAAATGTGTCCATCTTGAACATTATCAGAATCATCAGCTAATAAGGGTAAATTGACATACTCTGGTACACTGGAGGGAGCATCTGAGTTGGGTTTCCACAGTTGTACCTTACAGGCTGTGTAGAGATCTCTGATGGAATCACGTCCTCATGTTCTCAAAGATACGCGAAGTTCAACTTGTATGAAGTTAAATTGCCTTTGCAATATCTTTATATATTTTATAATTTTCACATGATTTTATAGAATTGAATTGATTGGTTTGTTAAATACACACAATATTGCTGTGTTATTACTGTATTATGTTTAATACAGTCTCTCTTCAGTAACCATAAAGGTGGACATCTGAAAATCTCTTTGAAAATATGTGTAAAAAATAAAAATCAAATCTTGTTTTTCATGCCCTAAGAGCAATAAAAACACATAGGAAAAAAAAAAAATCCTGACTGAGGTTATCATAATTCATGCATGAAAGGGTTAAATATAAAGTGTGATTGAGTAAGAGAGATTCTGTCATCCAGAGCACTACCTCTATTTTAGAAATATTAAAATAAAAATGTTGATTCATTGTAGAAATAAACTTAATTGATACGTTTTGAATCTCTATTCATGGTTTATATTACCCACAATAGGATTTTTTTTTACTTATTTATTCATCCAGTAGATGGCAGTGCATTCATTCAGTAGAGGTCTGCTACCCGACCCGAGCCCGACGGATCCCGAAAAACTCACGGGTTTGGTTTCGGGTCGGGTTCGGTTAATGTTTAATGAATAGCCTCGGGTTTGGTTTTGTAACTTAGAAAAACTATATAGGCTAATACATACATATATACTATATATATAGTTTTGCGTGCCGCTTGGCTGCTTGCTGTGTTGTGATCGTAATTATATGAGCACGCAAGCGAGAGAGAAAGTTGTGCGCAGTTTCAGCCGTCCTCCTCTGATTGCGGTGTTGTGACCGAAATAGTGCGTGCGGGAGCACATGCGCAAAACAGTTTTGTAAAATGATATATGAACCATTTTTATTTAATCATATATAATTTTACAAAACTTTTGTGCGCATGTGCTCCCGCCCGCGCCATTTCAGTCACAACACCGAAATCAGAGGACGGAGCTGAAACCATCAACTGTCGATGCTGTTCTCTTCCTTCAAACTCGTACTGAGAAGGATAGGCTATATTTATGTAAATAGTTGTGCAACTGCGCAAACTTTGTTTTGAAGTTTAATGTTTGAGTTCCAGGGGAATTTGTGACTGTTTCACCTGTTCAACCACATCAAAGTTTCGTAGTAAGTCCGTGCTTTTTCTCTTTCTTCTCTTGTGTGCTAACAGTCTATGGTGCTGACTGATGAGGGGGCCGCTGTGCCTTGGTGAAACGGTGTTTGTACATGTAGCCTTTTTTTTTTATCGTTGCAATCAATCATAAAATACAGCATACATTGCAAAAAAACAACAACAACTATTTACTGTGAGAAACGGACCTCGGTTCGGGCTTAGTGCAGACCTCTATACCAGAGTAACACACTCAGATGAATTGTGTGCTGTGACACCATGGTCAATTTTAATCCGTTTCTCTTTTAGAAACAAATGGTATTGTGTGTTTCTGTCTGCCAGCCACAGCAAAAGCCCCATACTCATGAAACCATTTTATTTTTTAACATTTGGAATTTACTCTAAAATGTCCGTCTAGAATTGATGTATTTATTAAATTCACACCCTGACAGCTAACATCTGTTTAGTGGAGAATGATTCATTCTCTTTCGGTTCACTATAAAGTTTGTTCACTGCTTTGTTTTTTTGATCTTTAGGCCGTGTGTCCACCAAAGCGTTTTTAGCAGCTGAAAACGCTTGATGCTCTGCTGAAAACGCCTAGCTGCTAGCTGTGGGCGCTTGAGAGCGTTTGTCAGCACAGCGTTTTTTCCGTTGAGACATTTCGTTAGCCTAGAAATCTAGACGCACCCTAGCGGCAGCGAAAATAATTTCGCAGCCAGTGCGAAATAGTAAAAACGGCGAGCTCTCAGCGCTTCAGCGTGAAAAAAACGTCCAGCGCCTCGTTGCGCTCATGGCGTTCTAAAAACGCGGCGCTTCCATTGAAAACAATTGAAAACATAGGCCAGGCGCATGGAAAAACGCTTTGGTGGACATACGGCCTTACTACAGGATTGATGATTCATTGAATCATTCACTCAACCAATTCGTTCCGTGAAGGGCGTATCCCCTCATGTCCAACCAATCAAACGCTCCTTCACGCCTCACGCACTCGAATGCTCTTGGGTAGTACGCGCTTCGGAAGTGAAGGACATTAGTTAATGGGAAAAGTCTTTAAAAACACCTCTACACATACAGTATGTTTCATTTGAGATAAATTTCAAGATAACTCAAATGCTCCACTTAGTGGAGTATAACATAATATTTCAGTGTAATATTTCAGTGTGATATACCGGTATGCCTTTCCTCCTTTTCTTTCCTTGCAGCCTTCCCTCGCATCCTACAGGGGGTGGAGATGAGACACGAGGAAAGGAAACGAGGATGCACAAATAAGAATTGAGAAGCACCCATACTACCTGCTGCTATCGTCTCGAGGACTGGTGAGTAACAGTGAAAGTTATGCATTTCTGCATTGCAAATAAATCTACCATGCCAATAACACACGCACTTTACAGTGCTGCTATTTATTTTAAAAGGATTGCATCTAAATCTTAATATCACTCACTGTCATATAATCTAACTATATACTAAACAGCTGAGAGTACTAGATTTGAATAGCATAAAGTGACATCTAAATGGGAGTTGACTGGTTTCTGTGAGAGAGTCTTTTATTTTAAAGGGTAGGCGTAGGCCTTTTGTATAGCCGATTTTAACAATCTTGTCTTTAATAGTATAGGGATAACATGATCTAGATCTAGGCCCTTTGGCCACTAATGGAAAGTAAAAAGAAAAGTGAAGTTGATATTTTGGGCTTCTTGAAAATGTTTGAAATCAGAACATATCTGTGTTCAGAGGCTCATGTTGATATTGAAACATCCAGATAATGTATCCTTAGAGCCAGACTATACAGGATTTGAATGCTGAACACATCACGTTATTACTAGAAGTGACTCTCTCCCACAGTGCTTTCTATGCAGATAAAATGTCTCTTTCTGATGTTTAGATGCTGGTAGTTGTAAAGGGAAGAGTTACTTTAGTCTTGAAATGAAACAACTAGGGCCTGGAATCTGGATTGTTGTATTTTAGTTGTCAAGGTAGGGCCCTTTTCCCCTATGTTTTGAAGGATAAAGGAAGATCTGTCAGTCATAATGTCACTCACAAATGAGAGCTGGTCATTTTGAACACACCTGGAGGCATTGACTGCTTGACCTTCGACTGAGATAAAGAGAAATTTTGTTGAGGAAGGAAGGAAGAAGAGGATAGTCTTGTCAAGATTAAGGTGACAAGTTGACGTTCAGTTTGATATGTCCATAAGGCATGCAGAAATCCTTTCAGGAGTTGAGTAAT